AGCACAGTGATGAGGGAACACTGCCCTGGGCAGCCCTGGTCCAGACTGCAGGCAGCCAGGCTGAGGGGCACTAGCCCTCCTCATGTGTACTGGCATGTGTACTGATGCTAGTTCCCAAACAGGCTCCAGATCTCCTCACCTCAACTCCACCTGCGGGCTCTCTGTAAGCGCAAGTTCAATATGGAGCTAGCAACTCAACTGGCAAACAGTCGCATCAAAGGCAGACTTGGCACAAGTGGGCAGAAATGCTGCCTAACAGGCGACCAGTTCAGCGGTATGCTGAGAGCAGCTCTCCTGATCCCGGGCAGCTGGGGCGGGTCTTGTGCAAGGCTGACAGTAATCTTAGCGGAGCGAGAGGCTTCAAGGCTGACTCCTGAGCATCTGAAGCTTCTGTGACTTAGCGTGGAGCACACTGAACATGCCACCGAAAATGACAACCCAGAATCTGACCCACCAGCATGTCCTCCAGGACAGCTGCAGCTCAGCCAGACCCAGCTCTCCATCTCCACAGCCCCCACAGGCTGCCTGAAGAACTGATGGAAGCGGACTGACTATGCACGGCACCCACACACGACCTCTCAACAAGCAGAACTGCTGCCATGACCACATGGAGCAGCATGGCAGCCACCTCTGACAACACTCCATGACTTATAGAAATATCCTTTGATAACTCAAACCCTTTCAGCTGCTCACAGTGCGTGTGCTACTCACAGGTACTTAGCCCCAAAGGACAACAAAGGAACAGACAACCTAGCTGAAAATGTAACAGTTACTGCATATAGAGTCATTTTCGTTTGAATAGCTAAAAAGAATAAAACAATGATCGAATAATAATACCACTGGCTTCATGAGGATTTTTACCCAGAGTTGTTACTAAAAGGGATGCATTTCTGATTTGAAACATAAAAATTTAGATTAAGTTTTCATCATCAGTTATCAGAAACTACGTGTAAGTGAAGGAATAAAAGACCTGACTTCTACCCTGGGCTGTACAGACTGCCCTTCCCTCCTGGCCTCTGTGCTGCCAGCCTATTCCCCACCCTTACAAAACAGCCAGTGATGGGTGCCTGCAGAGGGAGAAGGGGTTGGAGAAGGGGCCCAGCCAGGTCCAGGTGCTCCACCGGGCACACCCTCTACTCCATCACTGACAAAAAACCGACTTGAGGACATATCCCACTTCCCACCCCAGGGCACCTGGAACTGTGGAAGCTCCACCCCTCCAAGAACCCTCTCGACATTATTTTACCTGGTTTTTTGGAGTAAATCACTTCTTAGAAAGACTTCTGTTGTGGGCTGGTGGAGTGGCTCAAGCAGTAGAGCTTCAAACCCCAGTACAACCCCAAAAAAAGACTTCTGCTGCTACAAAAATACAAAGTCTCAAGCCCACACTCTGGTGGGGAGGAAGGGCTGTCTCTGCTTCAGTCTCCAGCCCCTTGCTCCTTTACCCTGACGTGGAGACACCTGACTCAATGCTAGCTTCTCTTTGTCATGTACTCTGCTCTTGCCAAGCCCCCAAACAGTAATCTGTTCATGTTCTATGGTCCAGGTCATACATGACAGACTTTCCTCTGAGAAGTCATCACCTCCCCCAGGAGGCGGCAATGCCAAGAAGAGGTGGAGCACCATCATGAGTTGGTGTGTTCCTCTGGAGCCTGCAATGGTTCTCTGTTCCCTCAGGCTTCACGGTTACATCTCTGCCTTCAGAGGTGGTGAGTAGATGGGCCTGGAATCAAGGACTGGGGCTCATGCTCAGTCCTCCAAGATGATGACCAGGGGGAGGAGATCCTTGCAAATCCACTGGCAGAGCTGCCAGATGGCCAGTGTCCCAGCCAAGGCCCAACACCAGGAACAGCACATTTTGGGGCTGGGCTGCAGGTCTAAGGAGGTTGTCGGTAAACCACCCCATACACCTCTTGGACTTCTGTTATTGTAGTCTGCTGTATCCAAAATCCATCATGTCCCCACTTGTCCTATCTCACAACCTCACACCAGAGAGCACCCTAAGTCTTGAGCTAGGTGTGGAGCCTCTGAAGCACAGTGGCTTGAGAGAAGTCAAGGCCACGATACCCTATACTGGGCGCTCTGTGCTGGCAAGAGCTGTGCATGGTACTTCCCTCTACATTGTGTCCTCTGAGCAGGTGCAAAGTCTCACGTGGGAGGAGGTTCCTCCCCAGCCTGAGGTCTTGCTTCCTGCCAGGCCCTGCATAGGTGGGGAAGGTGGTAGAGGAAAAGACAGTACACATTTGACACTGCATCCTTGGGTGTCTCAACCTCTCCAGCAAGTGCAGGTGTCCACATATGTTCTAGCCCTGGCTAGAGCACCAAAGGGGCTGCAACTGGCCAGCTTTCTGTCACTCAAGTGCAGAGCGGCAGGGACTGCCCCTCAGAGACTGTTGGGCAGCCTGGAGACATGGGAGGAGCTGGTACAAAGAAGCAGGTGGCAATGAGCCTCCACTGGGCTCGGGAACAGCCATACGACCCCTGAGCCAGCTCCTCTAGTACACGTGCCCCTGTAAGGACTCAGCCGGTCAGACAGGACGTTTCCATGTGGACATGACACTGACCCCGCTTTAACAGCCCTAAAGCGCACAGTAAGCACTGTGCTTTCCTGCAAAACTGCATGATCACCTTCCCTCAAACTAACGGTGCCCAGCTCCCACGTTGGCAGCTAGGTCAGGAGACCTCTGCAGCCTGTGATGTGGTAAGAGTCCAAGGCCAACACTGCAGCGACTGCTGGGCCTGAGCAGGAAGGCCAAGAGGCAGATGAGCCAGCTCATTTGAGGGCAAGGACAGCCCTAAGTCCCGTGGCTCCTCACGCCAGGCTGTGGTGCACTCCAGTCCCCTCCGGATGGAAAGTTGGCGGGAGCTGGTGAAGCCTTCTGGTGTCTATAAAAATGTTCCTCCCGGGAGACTGCTGGAAACAGACACTCAGATCTTTCATTCTTTTCCTTATTTGCCACTCTGAAAAATAAGCTGTTCTTCCTATTCTGAAATGGAATAGGGGTCAAAACCTTCTACAGTGAACAGTGCCCCAAAGAAAAAGATCACCAGATCAAAATATTTCTAGTTTGGCCAGTGGCCCAAAGTAACTCTATTCTGTTTACTTGGTGAAAGCCAACTCGCCTGGGGAGAAAACCTAACCCCATCCCCGGATGGCCCACTTTGTCCACTCCACCCCAGGTGTGCTTTCCTGTGGAGGAAATTAACCACCATGTCCCCTACCCAGTTCCTGAGGAGTATCTGATCCAGGTCTAGAGCTGGTATGCAGAGCTGCCATGCACATCCCTGGGGCCTGGGCCACAACCACCCAGCAAGACTGAAGTAGGCTGGCAAAGACCAGTGTAGAGCCGGGCCCAGAACTAACAGCAGAGCTCAGGACCTGCCTAGGCCTTACCTCACCTTCCCAAGGTACCCCAATTTCTCTGATGAGAGGAGGGCTCCTGCCTTTGCTACAGGGCCATCACCCCACCTCTCTGTAACAGCAGCTGAAGACCGCCTGCCAGGACAAGGAAAGCCACTCCTACCTCAGCAGGCCATGCTTGGGTCTGGTACCAAAGGCCCTAGCTTCCACTTCCACATGCCCAGTTCATGCAAAACTTGGGCAGTGTGCCCAGTTTTCTACCAGTATGTGTGTGTGATCAACTTCCCCACACCACAGTGACAGGCCAGTCCTTGCCCCAAGGCCAAAGCACGTACTATGAGTATGCAGAAGTCTACAACATACTCCTGGGTACACACCCACTACAGCAGGCTGCCCCAAGCAGACTCATGGCGGGGTCTGTGTTCTGCTGAGGCAGGCCTTCCCGCCTCCACTGAACATGGCTTCCCAAGTACGTGCACCCAGTGACATAGCACTGCCCAGGAGGACAGGCCAGTGGACAGAAGAACAGAAATAGACACAGGCAGCAGGAAGGCTGGGGGAGGGGGGATCCTTCTGAGCAGGTGATGGGAGGAGGGTGCCTACAGGCTGCACTCCCTGGTTCTGCCCCAAGGGCTGGCTCTTCACACCCAGGACATGAAACTTGAACTTTCAGTCTTCCCCCAGAGAACCAGGAAGTGGCTAAATGGAGAGTTCCAGCAATGATCCTGACTATGCATCCTCCACACTCCAAGGCCAGGGAGGGAGCTTCCCACCCTGTGTCATCTCCTCCAGACCCAAGCTCCAGGAGGACTACAGCTGGTCAGGGAGCAGGGTGCCCTGTGGTTCTTCTCTGGCTTGGGTAGGCCACTATCAACTGAGAAGTTCTCAATCGAGTCCTGTCTGAGGAGCTGGTGGTGAGAAGCATCCAGAAGTAACAAAGGCACAAGGGACACAGCAGCTGCAGCCCTCCAGAGCCCACTGTCCCCACGGTATCAAGGTCCCCCCAACAACTCCACTGCCACCCCAGCCCAGAAAGTCAGGTCAGGGCTTGCAGCTCCTCTCCCCACCTTCTTGCTGGAACTGGGGACAAAGAGTAAATAGTGAGGTTTATTACATGTTCTGAAAAGGTCCACTCTGAGTGTCAGTCATCTGTCTCCTACATCCTCAGCCACTCTCAGCCTCAAGTGGGGTCACTGAAAGCAGACCACTGAAAGCACATAAGCCTACAGATACATCTTATGTGGATCTTTAAAGAACTTTCTAGGGCAGTGGAGATGTGGCCAGGTGGTACAGCACTTGCCTAGTATGTGTGAGGCCCTGGGTTCCATCCCCAGCACTACAAAAAAAAAAACCCAAAAACAAAAATAACAACTGAAACCTTTATAAAATATACTTTTTAAGCATTCTCTACTCAAACTACTTTCTTTTTGAAACTGGTCTGGAACTCTTTATGTAGCCCAGTCTACCCTTGAACTCATGATCCTAATTCCTAGACGGATTATAGGTGTGTACCACCACACCCAGTTTACTCAAACTATTTTCAATCTTTTCTAAAAAATTCAAGTACAAACAGGTAACAGTCCTATTTCAAGAGCAAATACTTCCCCATGCAGCACATCTCAAGAGCAATAGCACTGACCTGTGCTAGCCTGTGGTCCCCAGTTATGGGTCTTCAGACACCCACTCACAGCACCCCACTGCAGCATGGCCCCTCTGGTCTCCCAGAGCCCTAGGATCAGGAAGAATCAAGCAGACCACAACCCACATTGCTGTCTTCTGCCTCATCTGCCCTGCTCCAGGGGAAAACAGAGAGGTAGCTGCTCTTTACAAACCGTAACACTTTAGCCAGCCAAACTAAATCAAAGCTCACTGTCAAGTGGAAAGGTCCTTCATGTCTGCCGCAGGACTCTGTGGCTACTGCCGAGTCAGGCCGCGTCAGATCCTGCATTGCTGAATGCTGAGGAATCAGAAATAACAGGAGCAGACTAGGAAGCTCAGGCCAGCTTGACCTCCCAGACCCAAGCAAAACAGGGTGCAAACAGCAGCACTGAGACAGCCACACCATCCCTGATCTTCAAAGACAGGCCTGCAGGGCCCAGCAGAAGGCCCTAATAAGCAGCTGTAAACTCAACACACCTCACTCTTTCCTCAAAAGACTAATTTTAACAGGGAGAAGACATGACCGCAACTAAGAAAAGCTTCCTGGTGGATCCTGAGTCACAGCGGTATGACTCAGCTACCCTGATGGCTGACAGGTGAGCTCACCTGGGTAGGGAAAGGCCTTTCCAGGAGAAAATCATCTGCCTGACTGCAGAGCAAAAGTGCAGACATTTCCCTCCTTCTCCTACCTCCCCCTTCCCTACCTGCCCCCACTAACTCTTCGAGGTAAGTCTGGACCTTCAAGCCCCTATGGGAACATCCCCATAGCTTCAATCAGTGGACCAGCCAGTTAAAGGCAGTCAAATACAAATATGACAATTTCTTGTGTATTTGGTAAAAGGACAGTCTTTGGGGCATCTTACAAGTCTATTTAAAAAAGTAAAAAGTCATAAAAATTAAACATGCCCTTCACACAGGGCCTGGCCTGCTGCTTCCTCTCACTACTCCTCCAAGGGCTGCCGTAAGTGGGGCAGGTTCCCTGATGGACCAAAGGACCACGGCCAGTCCCAATCGTTGGCCTGTCCAGTCTCCACCCACAGGCACCTTTGGACAGACCTCTAAAGATCAGAATGGAGGTGGCTCCCAGCCCTGCACGGCACAGTTCCCAAGCCCCAACAGACCAGCCTGAAAGTGGCCCAGGGAAGGAGCAGAGCCATCACAGGATGGTTGCCTAGCACTGAATTCACTTCTCCAGTCTCCCTCACCACCCACACAGGGGTCCAGGACCTTCTAAGCACCTGTTATTTCAACCCCTCAACTCCTCCACAGGACTTCCCCTTCCCTGCAGGTCAGTCCTCCCAATGCTCCTCAGCACCTGGATCCAGCCTCACACGAGAGGGACCCAGTACATGGAGGGGCCCCCAGATCACCTGTGCTCACAGAGCACCTGCCAGAACAGGCGCCCACATGTGCCCTTGCCACCATCCGCCTAGCACTGTGCCAGCTCACACAGGACCTGGCCAGCTGCTTCTTCCTGAATCGGTTGGTCTGGGATAGCCATGTTCAGCTCTGCCCTTGCCATTCCATAGGCATATGTTCAACAGCCACAGAGAAGCAAGCTCAGCCACCTCCAGAAAGCTCTCCAAATCATGCTGGGTCTCTCGCCCCTTTTTGTGGGAACTACAAAGCCTCATGTTTGGGTGCATCTCTCCATCTCTCCGTAGGTACTGCCTATTAAACTGCTATGTGTGGGTGTTCAGCAACTGTAGCTAAAACTTGCAAGGTGCTTCCTATGAGCCAATTTCTATTCCAGAAACTGTATCTGTATTAACTCACTTAACCCTCACAACGATCCAGTGTGGGGAATTCTATTATTAGCCCCATTTTACAGACGAAGAAACTGAGGGAAGAAAGACCAAGAGGCTCTGGCCCCTGCACAAGGACTGACGCTAAGAAGCACCTGAAGGTTGGGAGAAGGAACTAGGGCTGTCTAGGTGCTTGCACACTTCAGCTATATTGAGATGCCCCTTTTCATGTATCCAGGTACTCACCATGGGGATAAGACTTCAGCTAGGACCCAATAGCTCCTGCTGGGACTGCAGACCAGAGTATTGTTTTTCTGCCCCGCCCACCAGCAGGTGGCCCAGCAGGCTCACTCGTAGCCATCCTCCTACAAACCTGTTCAGCACCCTAGCAGCTGTGTACTGTGCAGGCCTGGCTCTCATCTTCCTCAGTGCATTGCAGACACTGCCTATTGTCCAGGCTGGGTACACAGCAGGAGCTGGACAGAAGTTCTGTCCCCTCAGCACCCACCCAACTACCTATCACAGTGCCACTATTGGGCAAGGAAAATGGCAGGAAGGAGGGTGAGGCAAGAGTCCCGTGTGGTCAGCTGCCCATGGGAATCGGCATCCACACGAAGCTGACCAGCATCTGAACCCAGGCACTCTGAATGCTGAGGAGCAGTGTGCACTGCAGTGAAGGGTGTGATCAGTGAGCTATGGGTACAGTCCGAGGCAGAGTTTGGGACAGGCTCAGGAAAGGGAAGGTGGGAGCTGAGCGGCATGGCACAAGATGGCTAACAGGGAAACACCCAGCAAGCTACAGGCTGGAGTCTGAGAATACCAATGACCCCGAGAAAGCAGCTCCAGGGAGTGGTGGGCTCAGAGGCCAGAGCAAAGGAGGCGCAGGGCTGGAGGGAGGAAGGAGAGGCAGGGCCTGCCTAGGACCCTCTGAGAAAGGCACTGTAAGACATAGCCAAGAGCTGCGGGTGGAGTTGTGGCAGCCCAGGTGGCTGGATTTATGCTCCTTCTCATAAGGACCATGAGGAGCAAGGGTCTGGAGGCACAAGAACACTGTCTGAATTGCGGCTCACCACTGGAATCAGGGCTCCTTGTGCAGGGCCACAGAAGGGCCACACTGTGCCCACTGCCAGTGACTGTCCAGCTCACAGACAAGAATCTGGGGGCGTGGCTGTTATTATTGTTTCTTTTTTTGGTAGTCTGGGACTTGAGCTCATGCGCTTGCTAGGCAGGCACTCTGCCACTTGAGTCATACCCCTGGCTCTTTCGCTTTAGTCATTTTTCAGATAATCTTGTGATTTTTACCAGGTACCGGCCTCTGACTGTGATCCTTCCTACAGTCTCCCTCATAGCTGGGATTACGGGCATGAGCCACCCACCACGCCCAGCTTATTTTTGAGATGGCATCTCCCTAACTTTTTGCCTGGGCCAATCTCTAGCTGTGATCCTCCCAATATTCACCTCCATTGTAACTGGGATTCCACAGCTGGCCTTGGAGAGGTGATCTTTATTAACAGGTAAATTCTGGGGTTCTCCTGGGCAAGCGTGCTGGGAAGCCAGCTACTGTATCTATAGAAGCCAGGCTAGACAGGATCAGACTAACTATTGTAAGAACTAAGTGGCCATGGGCCAGAGACTTTAGGGGTCCCCTGTGGCTGTGGCCCCTTCAGAGGGAGTCTCAAGGGAAGCCAGTGGTCAACACTGGGGAAAGCCAACAGCCAATAGCCAGCTAGGGAAGCAGCCAAGGCAAAGAAATGTCACGCCATCCCTTCAACTCCTGTGTATTCAGAAATATCCAAGTGCCATCTCTGCCCTATAGGCCCAGACCCAGGTCACAGTCCTCTGTGAAACATACCAGCCCTCACCACAAAAAGAATGAGCTACTACAGAAAGTGAACCCTGACAGCCACACGTTCTCAAGGAACTTTAAAAAACAAGAAAGCTTCATATTGTCATACACATTATACTACTTAGTGTAATCTACTATATATAATCTATGTAATTATACAACACACATGTACACACAGACAAGACCTAACACATTAACGAAGCACATAGTCTGCATATTCTATGCTAACATACTACCATGCTACGTGCAAAGGAACATCTGCACATATTCACATTCGTATCCCAGGATTCTGCATCCAGGTTCAAGCAACTAGACAGAGAATATTCAGGGAAAAAATGCATCTGTGTGGAGCACACAGGCTTCTTTTTTGTTGGTATTCCCTAAACATAGTGTTTATACTGTAAGAGGGTGTAGAGATTTTTAAAGGCTGCAGGAGGACATGTGTAGGTTCTGTACAAACACCATGCAGTTTACCTAGGGGCTGGAGCAGCTGATACTCGAGGATCAGTGGGGGTCCTGGCAGGGCTAGCGCCATCGTTGAGGTCCAGCACACCTGACAGGGTTGCACACTTGGCTTCGGGGCTGGCGGCACATGCAGGCGCGGGACCCTCTCCCCACACTCTGCAGCACAGACAGGAGGGTCCCACAGGGCCCCACAAGCTCAGGGTCGACAATTCAACCCACCACTCCTTTGCTGCCAAGTCTTATCGCTGTCATATTTTTCAATGTGACACTGCTTAGTTCTTTTGGACAACCTTGACTTTCCTTGGTGTTCACTGCTAATTTTAACTCCCCTACATTTCCCTACAAAGTAAACTTGAGACACCAAAGTAGCCATCACAACAACATCCAACAGTCACTCTCTGCACGGTGTTTGACCACACAGGTTTGCAGATGCACGAGAGCCATGGTCACAGTCACTACTAGTCCTGGTCAAGACAGTAATAGTGAAAATGTGAGGCTATCCCACTTGGGGTTGATCTCCAGTGAGGACGAGAGCAGAGGGCCAGCCCCAGCACACAAGCAGTCGCCTGCTTCTGCAGTGACCAAATACAGTGTCTATGGATGACCAGGCACACACCATCCCCAGATGCTGGGCCTGACCAGCAGTCCACCTGCTCAGAGATAGAAGACAACCTAGAGGACGGAGGACCCACCCTGGCCCTCCTCTAACGTAAACACCCCCTAAACTGCATGCAGAAACTGTGAGACTGCATTGTTACGAGAAAGAGGCACAAAGCTTTCACCAGATTTTCAAAGAAGTCCATGAGTAGAGAGAAGCAGGGCTACCCCCAGAGGAGACAAGGGGTCTGAGGGAAGGCCACTCGGTCCACAACTGCTTAAAGGAGTCTTAGTTGGGATACAATTGTGTCTTTCCTGGTCTCCCTGGCTCTAAGGCAGGAGTCCACCCAGCCTGGCCTAAGGGAAGATACAGGCCAGGCCCTCCCTCTCCCAGGTCACTATGGAGATACTCCAGCTCCATCCTCCCAAACAGAAACTGCTGCTT